GTGCCTCCATATCCAGTTGGTTTAACCCTTTTAACATTTTGAGAAGAAGATATTTGTAGGCCTGCAGAGCAAGAAAAATAGCTGCTGAATCCTCAAAGAAGCCATCTATTCATTTATTTCCAGTGCTGAGGATTAAACTCAAAGTCTTTTACATGCTAGATAAATTTTCTACCACTGAACTATACCCAGTATACAGTAGATGATCAATATGAGTTATTTGCCTCTGAATTTGATCCTTATAACTGTGGTTCCATACAATTGCTGCCCAAAGATCCCATGGTAAGGATGACACTGCCCTGTAGGCCTTGCTTGGAGAACCTTTGAAGTCTCTTCAATTCTCTCTCTCTCTCTCTCTCTCTCTCTCTCTCTCTGTTCGTGTGTGATGGGGATTGAACTCATGGCTTAGTTCTTGTCAACTATTTTGCTTCTGGGTTTTTGGTGGTTAATTGGCGATAAGAGTCTCTCAGACTTCGCTGCATAGTCTGGTTTCAAACCATATCCCTCAGATCTCAGCCTCCTGAGAAGCTAGGATACAGGTGTGAGCCACCAGCACCTGACTGATTTGTGTATCTTTGTTTCAGTTTTCAGAAAGATATCCAGGCTAGCAGCATGCTGTGCAAGAAGATACATGTTCTGGTTCATCCTTAGCACACCATCCTGATCTGGGACTCTCCCCCATTCTCTTCTTTATGCACCAGCCACACAGGTCTGCTGCAGACTCAGAACTACTGTACATTTTTGCTTTTTTATGATATTTTATTTTTTTCAGCAGTGCAGTTTGACCTCAGGGCCTTCTGCTCTTGAGGTGCTCTTCCATGTGAACCACAGCCCCACTCCCAGCTTTTTGGTAGTTAATTGGAAGATAAGAGTCTGTTAGACTCTCTTGGGTTTTCCTACTCAAGCTGGCTTAAAACTTCAATCTTCCTATCTCCATCTCCTGAGTAGCTAGGATTACAGGTGTGAGTCACTGGTACCCAACCTAGACCAATATTTGCCTTTTTATATTGGGTTTTACTATTATACATGCAACACTGTTTCCACACCATTGAGGCTTGGTAAATGTCCCTTAGTGCACCGTGAACTGAGGCTCCCTTAGTCTGGATCCAAACCAATTGTAGTTAGGTTAGATCTGCCTCAATCTTCAGGTGAGGGAGGCTGGTGCCATGTCCATTTCCTCAGGTTGGGAAAAATAACCTCTGCTACCCAAGCATGACAAGGAGACACATTGTTTCCTCTGGAGCTTCCCCACATATTTAGGGATAGAGAGGAGTCCAAGGAACTTTTAATGCTGGTCATGCTAATTTTGCTCTAAAAAAAGAGTTGAAAGCAAAAGGGAATGTGATTGTTTCCAACTTTACCTCAAAACTCAGGAGTACTTTCTCTGAGGACACATTGCAACATTTTCAACAAGTTTGCCCATCATCCCAGATGTCTACAAGAAAGAAAAGATCCTATGGCAATTGTTTGTTCCACAGATTGTTACTGAGCACTTACAAAAAATGAATAAGAAGCTGAGCATGGTAGTGCATGCCTGTCATCCCAGCACTCAACAGGCTAGGCAGGAGGATCCTGAACTATGTAGTGAATTCAAGGCTAGCCAGAGTCACATAGTTAGATCATGTGTGAAGAAATGAACATATAGGTATATTGGGCTTTATAGAACTTGAAGAATCTCTGTGGAACTACGTTATACTGGAATTGTTTCTTCTTATGATGCTAAACTCTCATTAGAAACTTTATCCTACAAGTCTATAAAAAGGAGTTTAGAGGTCAGCCTACCACAGGGCCAAATCCCAGTGGAGTTTACCACTCAAGTACTTCACAACTAGCCCAAGTTGCCCTTTCTGATTTGCAGTCTTTCTCATCTTTGAGAATAACTCTCAATTTCCAAAGTTAATAGGATTCAATGCTATGTAATATGTAAGGGGATAGAGCCAAATACAAAATCACTGTGTATAAATTATCCCACACACTTTAACTTGGGAAGAATTTTTCAAAAAAAATAAAATCTATCTAGGAAATATTTTTTAAGAACTCAGAACAAGTAATCAGAAGAAATGTCATTGGTATAGAAAATGTTTCCTATTATGTCCCTATCCAAGTTGTTACCTTCTCAAGAGAGAATCTATTTTATCATGGTGCCTTCCCAGGCCACACCCACTCCAACTAACCTTAGTGTTAAGTATAGGGCCTGGGTGCTGGGATAGAGGTGCTGTTTTATTAATTTCCATGCTCTCAGGATTGGGTACGGTGTCTAGAATTCAGCATACGTATTATATTCATTATCATATTCTTTCTTTACAATAACCATCTAATATAGTGCTATTTGTCCTCGTTATTACACAAGGAAGCTGAGGCATAGAGATGAAGTCAAATGCTCCAAATTACCAATGCAGTTTAGTGGTGGGCTGGGATTTGAACCTAGGGGTCTCACTCAGGGCCTGCACCCTTAACAATAAGCAAAGTCACATACTTATTAGATGTATTTTTTGAATGAATACAGTTGCATAAAAATGTAAATTAGAATCAGTTAAAAAAAGGCTTTCATTATACATGTGTACTTAATACAATGGTCACATTCCCACCCACCCCCAATTGGATACAAATCTCTCCTTTGTAAATTTCATGTTTTTCACAGCCATACCCAGCACATTGTAGTTAGAAAAATTAACCTACAGTGCACACATTAAGAATTCCTGCTGTTTAGAGCAGCTTGTGGTGACCCATTTTGTTGTGTCAAAAAAAAACGTTTGTCACTTCCTAAATTGTCCAATTTATGTAATTAGTTGTTTTTTTACTCTTTTCCACTTACTGGCTTTTTCTAGAGCAGGAAAGGGCTGGAAAATATCATTTGGGACATCCTATTTCACTTACCTACAACCTGCCTCTTCCCACCCAATCCAAATACAAGGCTAGAAAGTTGGTGCCCTCTTCTGGGGATTTGGGGCAGTACATATATTGGACCAAGAGGGGGTGATGCAGTATTAGGAAATAATCGTGTCAAATTCCTTCCTTTTAATTCTGGTGCTAAGAATGGAATTGGAAAAGGTGACATTAATTAAGATGCATTGTATTCACCAGCTGACAGGCTGGGTTGAAGCATTTTTGCATAACCAGATAAAATAAATTTAACTAAAAAGAATGGGGAGAGAGGAGGGAGCCCTGCACTGGTGGCAAAGCCTGCTATCCTAGCTACTCAAGAGGCTGAGATCTGAGGATTGCAGTTCAATGTGAGTCCAGGCATGTTTGGTCTTCGTCTGTCCCACGAAAGACGGACGGGGTCCAAGGAAAGGTAAGTGGATTGCTCACCCGTTCCCCAGCCTCCTTCAGCCCAGGAGACAATCAGACACAGCGGGGAGCCAAAGCCAGCAGGTAGAAAACTCCTTTATTAACAGAGAGCAGCCCTTTTTAAAGCCAAAAAGGGCAGGTGGCATGGCAAGGGAGGAAGAGGAACCAATCACTGTCAAGGTCACACCCTATCATGCACCTAAGCCTTCAAGGGCTGGTTAGGCACTGATCGGGTCAATTGGGCTCTGCCCACTCTACTCTCTCCCAGAGCCATCTTTGCTGCCCATGTGCTCTACAGTAAATTGGGCTCTACCCACTCAACCCCCTCTCAGCGCCATATTTGCTGCCCATGTGCTCTACACAGGCAGAAAAGTCTATGAAACTAATCAATAAACTACTCAGAAAAAGCCGGATGAGGAGCTGTGGCTTAAGTGGTAGAGCTCTAGCTTTGAGCAAAAGATTCTCAGGGACAATGCCCAGGCCCTGATTTTAAGCCCCAGAACCAGTATGCATGTGTGTATGCATCCCCTCTCTCCCCCAACTCCAATCTTTGTCTTTCCACAATAATGTTGCCTATCTGTAGGCAGGCTCTTTACAGGGTAAACAACCATCCACAAATCAGAATTAATTCATCATCTCCTAGATCTACATCTTTACTCTTGCTCTAGTTTTTCCCCAACACTCCAACAAAATTGGACAAGGTCTATATCCACTATTTACAGAATTATGATCTAGGGCAGTCTTAACCAACTGGTCTAGCCCTGCTGCCTCCCATTAACTAGCCAGGCTAGGCAAGCTTCCACAGATTCACCTTACACAGCCTCAGGTTTCTCTGATGAAACCCACTCAGTCCCTACTGAACTAGAAAATTCTAAGGTAGAGCTCTCAAACTTCGCTACATATTAAAGTTATTTATGAACTTAAAAAAAATCTTACTGCCTTGGTTACATCCTATCCCCATTGTATCCAAATCCCCAAGGGTGACACCCAAGCATCAAGACTTGTTGAAATTCCCCAGGTGATTCCAATGAACAGCGCTGGGATTGAAAGCCCCTGGTAAAGGCTTGTCTTCAAGCTCCAACAGCACAAATCACACAGTGATTTCCACATGTTAGTGTTCATGGGAATTTCTTAGAGCACTTGCTAAGTCTTTACTCCCAGAGAGTTTGAGTTTGGACTCAGGTATTTGCCTTCTTAACAATAACCCTAGGTGAATCCCAACTCAGCAGCAGGATACTTTTGGGGGAAAGTGCTTTAGGGGTATGAGGAGGCTTCTGGCCCTTTAAGGCCTGATGAAGGGATTTCCTTTAAAGCTGTGGAGCCCCAAAAGGCAAAGCTGTTTCCTTTCATCTTCCTGGTGAAGGAGAGGTCAGGAGTCCTGGAATGGTTCTCTCCTTTTTGATTACCTCAGCCTTGTGAAGAGGCTCCTGTTCCCACTATTAGAAGGTGGGAAGGGCATGCTGTCTTGTCCCTTCTGCTGCTTTTGTTTGTTTGGATGCCAAGAGGCCAAGTTATTAGGAGACCTGCTTTGGTCCAGGAAGCAGCACAGTGTTTAGCTGCCTGCCTGCCTACCTGCTTGCTTGCCTGCCTTTTTTCCTTGTCCCATCTATGGTGTTAAGCCAGGATGTGGTTATCTGCATGAAAAGAAGGGGCCAGAGAGACATGCTTTGGGCTTGGGTTGGAACTTGTTGCTGAACACCAAGCTTTTCAAGATGGCCCTCCTCACCATTCTTCGAATTCTTTTCTGCGGATTGGTGTTTTTGATGGAACACAGAGTCCAAATGGTCAAGGCAGAGCAGCCCTCTGTTGCCCCCCTTGCTGAGGACCCTGCTTTGCCTCTGATTCAGGAGCTGCTAGAAGATGCCCCTAGGAAGCAGCAGATAAAGCAATGGCCCCAAGGGTATCCCCTGCGGTACATGCTGAAGTTGTACCAGCGTTCAGCTGACCCACATGGGCACCCAAGGGAGAACCGCACCATTGGGGCCACAATGGTGAGGCTGGTGAGGCCCTCGGCCAATGTTGCAAGGCCTCTCAGAGGTGAGTTTTGCTCCCAGACTGCTTTGGAAGGAAGAAAGCAAGGAATTTGGGTTTATTGCAGGGCTTCATTGCCTGTTGGGTGGCTTGTTGGCTCAAGGCTAAAAAATTCAAAGGATGGCAAGCTTGGGGAAAAAAATCCTCTCAAATCCTACTTCCTTTTAGGGCTCCAACTTAAGATTGCCTTGGGGCCTACTGAGCAATCCTTTCCAGGCCCCGGACAACGAAGTATTTCAGCTTCTATCTACTATAGAAAGTCTTAGGGTGTTCTGAAAATGAATTGAGAAATAGCCAGCTACATTCTTGTGATGGGCTGTTTATGTGGTGATTTGCTGTTAGAAGGCAGAGTACAGGTGTTAGGAAAGATCAAGTGGATGAAAGGAGAAAAAGAAGGTAGAGACCTCAACAGAACCAAACAGACCTTAGTCACTGCTGCAGAGGGACTCCATGTAATACCTACTAGGGTCAGAGAAATAAGGAGCAGGGAGTGGGGAGGGTTGAAGTTGGTTTTGGAGTTTGGGGGTTGTTTGTTTGTTTATTTATTTTGCCAGTCCTGGGGCTTGAACTCAGGGTCTGGGTACTGTCCCTGAGCTTCTTTTTGCTCAAGGGTAGCGCTCTACTGCTTGAGCCACAGTTCCACTTCCAGCTTTTTTGTGTGTGGTTAATTAGAGATAGGAGTCTTATGGACGTTTCTGCCCTGACTGGCTTCAAACTGTGATCCTCAGATGTCAGCCTCCTGAGTAAGCTAGGATTACAGGCCTGAGCCACTGGAGCCCAGCAGATTTAAGGTTTTTATACATTCAAGTGTAAGGCCTTCTTTTGCATGTCTTTGTCCTGTCCTGTTTGGGATTCCGTGGTATCCTTGACACTGGCAGTTCTGCACTTTCAGATAAGGTCATGGGTGAAGTTTTCCTGAGAATCAGGAAGGTGAGGAGAGGGGGTTGTCAGTGGGCCTTGAGAGCAACATTAAGTTATAAGAACAAAGCAGATTCCCATCAACAGCATGCTTATATGGCCTCAGAAAGGATGGAAACAAGATAATATCTGAAGGTCTGAATGTCTGACTCTGATCTTCCTTATCATATTTAATCCTTAATGATAGCCACTACAATTTGCTGTCACGGGACAATTAGCTTAATTTTAAAGATAAGAAAACTAAGACCCACAGAAGTTTAGTAACTTGCAAATGTCACACAGTAGGTGGTAGAGAGGGGATCTGAGCTCAAGAGGCTGGTTCTAAAATCTGTCCACAACTGCTTAAGTCTTTAAATCTAATACCCCCATCATCCTTGTACACCAAGCAGTTTTCCTACTAAGTCCCCTTTTGCTCCTTTGGGAGTTGGGGGTCAGACATGCTTTGGAATTTTCTTTGTCCTCATCATGCTCGAGTCTGCTTTGAATAACTGCATCAGATACTGTCCCTAGACAAGAGTGGAAGTGCAGGGATCTCTAGGGAAGATAGACAATCTTCAATGAACTCTTGGGGACCTGATAAGATTAATTTGGGGCTTTCACTAGTCTCAGAGATGACTTGGACAGGATTCACACACTCCTCCTCCAAGTAAGAAAACGCTTTTAGCTATCTCTTAGCATGAGCTTAATTGTGTGTCAGACACTGATTGTAAGAAATTATTTTACTAACATGTCCCTTGATCTTCCTTTGTTCTGTGGTAGTAACACTTTATAGATGAGGTTTAGAATGTGTTCATCCATGCCATATGCCTAGCAATCAGTACAACCAAGTATCAAATATAGGTTCTGATGCTGCAGATCCTGAGCTTTTTAAATTACTATGCCATGCTAAATCTTCAATAGATATCTTTTTCTTTTATTTTGGTGGGACTGGAGTTTGAACTCAGGGCCTCAATCATTTGAGCCATGCCTCCAGTCCCAACATATTTAAATTGAGCACCTGGGAGTACATTTGGGTCAGATACTTCTCTGACCTTATGGATCCATAATACTGTAGAATGGATAGACAAATACTCACATAACAATATTACAAGAAGAACAAGACTCAGAACAAGTTAAGCAATAGACTACTCAGGAATCCACAAAGAAATGGCTGCTTAGAGAAAGAAAAGGAAAGCATGAAGAGTGTTGAGAAGTACCTCCAAAGAGGTGATTTTTTTAACTGGTACATGAGGAAGAAGTAAGGAGACTAAACAAATAAGCTGGGAGATGTAGGTTCTGATTTAGGAAAGAGGAAATAGCTTAGTGTGGGTGAGGATGAACTCAACCAATATTTATTCAGCAATTACTGAGTGCTTGGCATATAGATGTGATGAAGACATGTAAAAAATCCTACTCCCATTGAATAGCTTTTCTTATAGAGAAGTTAAAATAATTGCAAATTGTGGCAAGTGCTATAATTGAATAGGCAGTTGTTTTTACTTTTTTGTAGTGTATATTAATTGTACAAAGAGGTTTCATTGTGTTATTTCTATGCATATAAATATATCATTATGTATCAATATATATCAAAGTATACAGATATGTATATACTTACATACTTATATTTGCTTTATATACTTTTATATATGAGTATATGTGTATACAAGTATATGTGTGTGATAAAAATTTACCACATCCATTACTCTTTCTTATGCTTTATTCCCTTTAAGAACAATTTAACAGGTTTCATTATTTTTGTACAAGCATACAAAATACTTCAATCATATCCACTCCATCTTAGCCCTCTCCTTTCATCCCCTCCTCCCACTGGTTCCCCCACCCCAAACACTTCCCTTATTTTACACTCCTATCTTTTTTTCTTTTTTGTATATATTTTTATTGTAAAAATACTGTACAGAGGGGTTACATGAGTAAGGTAATAAATAAGTACATTTCCTATCGAGCATTGTTACCTCCTCCTTTGTTTTTCCCCTTTCATCCCTTCCCTCCCCACCTCCCTACACTCCTATCTTTTATTTGTTGAAATAAGTTGTTGTGACAGGGAATAACAATTAATTATCTGCTTCCATGGGTTATTAGGACAGATATCATTGAAGAAGTAATGTTTGAATTGAAGCTTGTAAGATAAACTAGGGATTAGAAGAGCAGAGAGAAACTGGAGCAGGTCAAACATTATGGAGAATGGCTGGTTAGGAGGCCAGTAAGAGGCAGAGATTTGTAGGCCACAAAGAGGGATTTGGATTCCATTTTTCAGTGCTGCAAAGAGCTGCACAAATCAAGTTTGCCCGGATGATATGAGGCTAAAAAGAAGGATACCTAAGATTAAGCAAGTGTCCTGGGCTAACTGTGGAACATACAGGCATCTGGAGACTCTGGAAAGGATTCAGAAGCAGATGACAGGTTCAATCACACAGGATGTGTGAATCACCTCTTTCCCTGAAGAGTTCTGAGCAGACCCTTCCTGGCTCTGTTCCTTAGCAACCGCACCCTGCCTCAGGAAACTAGAAATGTCAAGGACTCAAAGGAAAAGGCAGTTCCTCCCCCAGACAGCCTGCTTAAGAGGTTGGGGTTGGGTTCCTTTACAGGCAGGGTGGGGTAGGTGTATGGGTGGGCCCTCTTGGAAAGACTGTTGTAAGATGGGAGGGTGGAATAGCTTGAGAAAACAAATAGAAGCCTGGCTTGGGCCTTGTGTGCCTGATGGCTGGCGCCACAAACTTGAGGGTGTGTTAAGCATGAGTTGCAGTGTCAACTCCTAAAAGTATTCTAGGACATCAAGACATTAAAGAACTCCTATGTAAAAGGTCCTGATCTTCTTTTAAAAAATAGGCTGTGCATTCAGTGAAGGTTAGGTGAATACTATATAAATACACATGGATGTACTTAATTAAAATGTTTGAAGATGAGAGGATTTTATCCTGCGGTCTAATTTTTGTAGTTTATGTCCTTTACCTTTGTTGGAAATGGAGGCAAAAGTTCAGAGCTCTGCAGGCCCAGCCTTCCAACCTTTTGGCCACTGGGTGTCAGTATGCAGTTTAGATTAAAGCTCTTAGTCATTAAGGGCCCTGAAGCTTGACAAACAGAACATTAATGAGATCAAAGCATTGTTACATTGGTATTTAAAATTAATGGATAAAGAGAAATGGCTCATGCCTATAATCCTAGCTACTCAGGAAGATGACACCTGAGGGTTGTGGTTCTAAGTCAGCCTGGGCAGAAATGTCCATGAGACTCTTTATCTTCAATTAACCACCAAATAGCCAGAAGTGGAACTGTGGTTCAAGTGGTAGAGTACTAGTCTTGAGTGAAAAAGGTAAGTGGCAGTGCCTAGGCCCTGAGTTCAAGTCTCCTACCATCACAAAAGAATAAAATAAAATGAATGGGCTAAATGGAATCCCAACAAGAAATCAAGAGAGTAAGAATTAAAGGAGACATGGCCAAAGAAGGAAAAGATACTTGCAAAACTGTTCTTGATGTTGGCAGAAGGCAGAAAATTAAAAAAGCCCTACTAGGGGTAATCAATAAAATTATTCTGTGACACATTTTTTGGCTTTGAAATGATAGCAGGAGTAGCACCCAATATTGCATTTTTGCCACAAAGTTGTAACTATATAGTAATGTGACATGAACACTCATAGTCACTTTCAATCATCAACCTATTAATACAACTTATGTCCTATACACATAGTATGCGCACAGAATAAGTTTACAACTGAGTTTTGTGCAATGAGTGATCTAAAAGACATGATTTTTTTCTTAGTATAAACAGATTTGGAATCAAATCTTGACTTTACCACATACTGGCCTTGGTTTTTGTTTTTGTATATTCAGTGCTGGGGACAGAATTCCATGTTCCATATATGCTAGGCAAGCACTCTACTACTGAGCTACACCCCCAGCTTTTGCCTGTGTATCCTTTGACGTAACTTCTTTGAGTCTCAATTTCCTAGTCTATAAAATGGGGACAATAACTATCTCAAGGCTATTGCAGATTAAAGAATTCACACACACACACACACACACACACACACACACATATATATAATATACTCAAACTGTAAGTATTTATCTTGTGTTCATTTCAGGTCTGACTGCAGCTGTCAGTTAATATTGACTACTTTTGTTAGAGATCTTCAGATGAGAAGACATTAATCCTTTGTTCCTTATTTGTGTAGGTTCCTGGCATATACAGAACCTGGACTTTCCTCTGGCATCCAATCGCGTAGCATACCAACTAGTCAGAGCCGCTGTGATCTATCGCGATCGGCTTCACCTAGCTCGCTGCCTTCTCTCCTGCCATGTGGAACCCTGGATCCCCAAATGCCCAGTCAATCATTTTCCTTCTTCAGGAACAGGTTCCACAAAGCCTTCCCTCATTCCTGAATCCTGGCTAGAGATGGATATCACACACTGTCTTCAGCAAAGTCTCTGGAATCGCAAGGGACGCAGATTCCTACGATTCCGTTTCATGTGTCAGCAGCAAAAAGGCAGGGAGGTTCTTGGGCTCCAGTGGCATGGCACCTCCTCCTTGGACATTGCCTTCTTGTTACTGTATTTCAATGATACTCATAAAAGTGTTCAGAAAGCTAAACCCCTTCCCAGAGGTCAGCAGGAGTTTGTGGAAAGTGAATCTTCTCTTTTCTTTCGGAGTGCCCGACAAGCATGTGGCATCGCATCTGAGGTTTCGTGCTCCTCCCAGGAACAGGATGGGCCTGTCAATAACCAGTGTTCCCTTCACCCTTACAAAGTCAGCTTCCGCCAGCTGGGCTGGGATCACTGGATCATTGCTCCCCATCTCTATACCCCAAACTATTGTAAAGGAATCTGTACTGGAGTATTACCCTATGGGCTCAACTCCCCCAATCATGCCATCATCCAGGGCCTTGTCAATGAATTGGTGAACCAGAGTGTCCCTCAGCCTTCCTGTGTCCCTTATAAGTTTCTTCCTATGAGCATCCTTCTGATAGAGGCAAATGGGAATATTTTGTACAAGGAGTATGAGGGCATGATTGCTCAGTCCTGCACCTGCAGATAATAGTGAAGTTATAGTAGCTCAGAGTTCCCACAAAATTGGAGAAGGGTTTAAAATAAAGCAATATCTATGTTAAACTTGCAAATGATCTCCTACCAAACCTATAGATTCTATTCTTTACCCATAGGCATTGCCACTCAAGTCTCTTTCCCCATTTGTGAGCTACTCAGTGTAAAACAACAGTTCTAATACCAGTTTCCTAGCATGGACCAGTAAGATTTATTCATGATAGTCCAAGCCCTCAGTGCTTGGCAAAGATGTTCCTTTGGAGACATGCTCTCTATTTTGTCTTTTTTTAATTGTGACTTTGTTAAAAGCCACTTGTCCATGATAGTAATGTCTGATTTCATTCTGGGCTTGGCAGTTTTGTGTGTTCAGTGGGCTCTGGGCATGGGTTTTGGGGAGATAAGTTGATTGCTTGGGGAATACCTAAACTTGGACTCAATGATGCCTGCAGTGTGATTCCTTCTGTGTGTGTGTGTGTGTGTGTGTGTGTGTGTGTGTGTGTGTGTGTGTGGTGTGGTGTGGATGGTAAGTTCTCTTTCACTGTGTTACATCCCAGTCAAGTGTGACTCCTTTACAATCCTATGATGTAAGTGATGGAAATGGTCGTTGCAAATAAATGGTTTTCTTGTTAATGAGAATGTCGAATGATTTGGGGATTGGAGGAGAGTAAACAAAAGGAATTCATTTTTCTATTTTCCCTTTAGCTATGGATGAGATCTCAACCCTATCTTTGAAGGGCAAGGCTGGAGGCTGCTCAGAATTCTGTTTCCTGAAAGCAGCAGGGCTAATGAGTCACCCTCACCAATGGGTCCCATTAAAAAAGCCCAGTAAGTCTTTGCCCCTACCCAGCTGTTCCTTAAGTAGTCTTTATCACCAGGTGCAATGGGACAGGAATGATTTGGGCAGTGTGCATATGATGGCCAAATTTGAATTCCTAGTCGTCATAACTTATATTTATTACCCCATTCCCTTCTCAAGAGTTTATTCCTACTTAGATGAGTATCTTGGAGGGCTATACATACACACATTTTGCTTTTCTGTCTGGGGAGATGCTCCTTAATATTTTGCCTTTCTGTCTAATGTATCTTTGGGAATCAGGTCATGCATTTTGTTCATCTTCAGGCTGAGATGTTCCTCCTCTGTTCATATAGCACAACATAATTTCCTTCAATGCACTCCAAAAAAGATAGAGTTCCTTTTAAGTGATTTCACTTGCATCTTACTCTTCTATACTATCAGAGCCTAACAAGCCTGTGATGAGCACAAACACATGACACATTTTTGTGGGGGAATGTATTCTTCCTAACACTGAGTACTTCACTTTCACAAATTTCATTAATTTTCCCAGTGAAAGAAATATAGTAAATATAGTTTTATATAAAATGGGATGATTAACTTTTGTGTCCAAATAGTTCAACAGTGTACAAATTACTACTGAATGTGACAACTGTGTTAGGCGAATTGATCTGGGAGATGAAAATTAGGCTTCTGTTCCAGCCATTTCTCCAGCCTACCTGGACTGGCACAAATATGTAAGAAGTCTGAAGACAGACCTTGGCTATGGAATCAGGTCCTGAGTTCAGCCTCTTAATTATTTGGGATGTTTAGAAAAATCATGATCTGGCTGTGTGAGATATGAATACCTGTGAACTTTAAGATACTCATGGAGGGCTCCAAGTTAATGGTCCCTATTATCCATTAAGCTCTGAGTTGTCAAAATACCCAAGGAAACCACTAGCAGGATGGAGTTAGTTGGGTCTTATGTTATAGATTCTCTCTTCTTTTGAAACATTGCTTCCATGGAAGCAAAGGAAGAGATCTGCACCTCAACCTTTCTCTGAGAAAAAGGTGAAAGGTTCATGTGTGTGGATGGGGAAATCTGTCTGCCCAGAGGAATGGGTAGAAAAGGTCACTTAGTTTGGACAGGAGCTAGGAAGCAAAGTCCACTTGTTCCAACAATCCTAGTAAGCCAGATAGATCTTCATTTACTGTGTGGATCCAACAGGGACAGGCATTTAAAGTTGCTTCTGACTTTGGCACTTTCTTGAATTCAACTTGATAGTATATTACACCTAATCTGGGGAAAATGGTGTCAGGCAAAATTTATTTCAGTTCCACCATGTATCTGAGTGCTAACTCTTGTAAAATAATATTTCATATGTCTTCAGTTAATTCTCCCAATAGTATATGTGGGAAGGATCAACCCCACTTAAAAATAACTTTCATTGAGACAAGTGCCTGTTGCTCATACCTGTAGTCTTAGCTACTCAAGAGGCTGAGATCTGAGGATCATGGTTCGAAGGCAGCCTGGGCAATCCATGACATCATACAGTAAAATACCCCCCCAAAAAGCTACAAGGAGAGCTGTGGCTCAAGTGATGGAGCACTAGCCTTGAGCAAAAGAAGCTCAGATACAGTGTCCAGATCCCTGGATTCAAACCCCAGGACCAGTACACACAAATGAAAATCACTGAAGTATAATTCATACATTATAAATGTTACCATTTTAGTTGTATAGCTCAGTCCTTTTCAAAATATTGAGTTGTGAAAAAATCATCACAGTCTAATTTCATCATAAAATGAATGTGAAATAATGGATGTAGTTCAATGATAGACCACTTTTCTGCCATTTGTATAGCCCCAAGTTTGAGTCCCTGTACTGCAAGAAAAAAAAACCTATAACCATCAGCAATAAAGTACCATTATTCTGTACCACAAGACCTAGGAAGCTAATAGTCTAATTTCTTCTTCTATAGAGTATGTATAATTATATAAATTGAGTTACCTAATATTTAGCCTCTTGGGACTAATTTTGTTGGCATCATTATTAATGGATAAAATGCTAAATATTGACACCACCAACAGATGGTAAGAATGTGGAGAAACAGGAACTCTCATCCACTACTGGTAAGATTAAAAGATGGTACAGCCACTTTGGTAGACAGTTTGGCAGTTTCCTCCAAAGTAAGCATAGATTCATCTTGGAAACTTATAACAAGTTTCCTTGATTGTTATTTAAATGAGATGAAAATTTATGTTTACACAAGAACCTATCCATGAACATTTATAGCAGATTATTGATGATTGTTAAAATTTCTGAAAGTAATTAAGGAGTGGGTAAATAAGCTCTGGTCCATGTATATAATAAACATTACTTAGTGAAAAGATCTATCAAGCCAAGAAAATATATGAGACAGCAATGACTATGGATTGCTAATAGAAGAATTCAGTCTGAAAATGTTCCATCTGTGTGATTCTCCTTATATGCCATTCAAAAAAATATCAAAACTATAGAGACCATGTAAGGACCAGTAGTTTCCACAGGTCTTGATGGGAAGGGAGGTATAAATGCATGGAACACAGAAGATTTTTGGGACAGTGTAATGGTAGGTACATGTTATACATTTGTTAAGACCCATAGAACTTGAGCTGACTCTGAAAGTAAACTATGAATAGCAATACATAAAATTTGGCAAATGTATTATACTGACCCAAGATGTTATTAACAAGGGAAAACAGAAGGAGTAGAGAGGGAAGGGTTGCATATGGGAAATCAGCAATAAGATAAACATATTTATTTAGTTACTTGTTTGTTTTGGTGTTGGTACCATGGCTTGAACTCAGAGTTTCATGCTCCCTAGTTCACTACTGGTGATCTATCACTTGAGCCATACTTTCAGCTTGGCTTTTTACCACTTCTGGCTTTTTGTCAGCTAATTGGAGACTTTTCTGCCTGGGTTAGTTTTGAACTGCAATCACCCAGGTCTCAGACACTTGTGTAGCTAGGATTATAGGGGTGAGCTACCAGCTCCTGGAACTATACTCTTAAATTGAAATTGACACTATTTATGTAAAAAAGGATGATTGGATAGATAGATGATAGATAGATAGATAGATAGATAGATAGATAGATAGATAGTCAGACATTCTGGGATGGCTAAATCAAGCCTAAATTCTAAATTTCTGGGCAAGATGTACTGTGTTTATGGCCAATCTTGATACTGAAGTCCTCAGCTTGGCTTGGTAGCTGGGCCAGCAGGGTAGGTGGACCTGTTGATTCTGTCTGCTTGGGATGGGCCTCATTCTGTGTTTTGGGGGCTATTCTGAAGCCTGGGTTTACAAGAGCTGTCTTGGCATTAGGGTAGATCTTGAGTCTGTGTTTTCAGGACCTGGCCAGGCACTGTGATGGGCCTGTAACCTATCTTGGGAATATAAGACTGAATCCTGGATCCACAGGTTTAGAATATGAATCTGCAGGGCTATTCCTGGAGCTTGGAGCCTCCTGGGTAGTCCTAGAAACTCAGTATATGGAGGTAAGTCTGGCACTGGGATCTGCTGGAGAGAACCTGAACCCTAGGTCTGCTGAAGCTAGCCTGAACCCTGAAGCCAGTCTAGGTGGAAGGCAGTAATTGTGGAGCTTGTACTCATATGGCTAATTGAGAGCCTGGGATCTTGTAGGATCATAGGTGCTGAAATGTAGTGTAGGGCTCTTGGAAAGCCTGGGCTCTGGCTCCAGTCTTGCTAGTGTCAAGGTGGTTAGGTATATGAAGACTAACATCAATTCTGGGACCTCAGGAATCAGCCTCAAGGGTGGAGCTAAAGAAACCATCTCAGTACTTGGCAAGACTGGATCATGCCTATGGGTGCTGTCTTTGTTTCTGAGGCCAGTTGGGCACAAGAGCAGGCTTGTAACTTAGGGTTCTGTAGGCCAACATGGCTCTGGGCTGACTGTGGAGCCTATGGTTGCAGAGGTTAGCCTGTTGCTAGACATGTCTGGAGTGTGTAACTGAAGGGGCTGGTTTGAAGGTTGGGTCCATGGGAGGTGGGCTGATGACTAGGGCTGAGGGAGCTTATGTAGTGCTAAGCTGATTTGAAGCTGGGTGTTGTCCTGTCCCTGGGATACACCTGGAGATCAAGGCTGTGAGGACACACCTGGTGCTGGTGTGGACCCCTGGGACTGGCTCAGCTGAGGGTGGTCTAGAGCCTGAGATCATGGA